AGCTACATCCTTTTAGAGAAGAGGGATCCCTTGCAGACAAGTATCCTGTGAACAGCACAACCACTCAAGTCATGCCAAAGCAAGTCCACTACATATCAGCGGCTCTCATCTTCTGCAAGGTGACATGTTTTGCAGACTTGTCTTGCCTTCTGTACCTGTGAAGCTCTGGAGTTCCTGGGGAGGTTGCCCGCTGTTGATGACTGCGGTAGGGAGTTTGATTTACTCCAGAGCTAGCTGATATAGGAGCTGTTCTATTAAAGATCGTTGACTCACTTGGCAACAATTTGGCAGGTCATTCTCCATCACACCCCTCTGGAAAGGCCATACTTTGCAACACTGAGAGGATAATAGCAGGCCTAATGGGTAAGTCTGTAAGTGATGTGTTTCAAGGGCCTGCCTGTTTTCCTACCATGATTTATTTTCTAAAGTATGTTCTGACTCAAGTACAGGCTGCTTAGTGGCAAGAAGAGTTGTCTTAGTGTTTCATTCAGATTACTGGATTGCTAGAGAGACTTGTCTGTATTTACATGGAGCAAAGAGTGAGCACTTCCAAAATGACTGTGATAGTTGAAGATGAGGAAGAAGGTCCAGTTCTTTACAGGTTATTGCTTTACACTGGCCATTTTGGATGTCCAAATATATTCTATAAGATATTAGAAAGCTCTTAGAGCTTGCCTACATAATTTCCTCATTAGATATGATTGCCATTAGAAGCTCTTTTGAAGTGCTGTTTTTCTTCATCAGCATGTGGCTGAGTATGAGGAAGACCAATTTGTCATATCCAATTACTGCTTTCCTGATGCAGTGCACCAAGGTTCTAATTTTTGTATCAGCATTTTTCAATGGAGAGAGTTCTGCAGCTGGAGTTCTCTGCTGGTATCATTCCTTCATGTTCCTACTACTGTTTATCTTTCTCAGAGCTTCAGTGTCTTGATTAAATATTGCTGTGACTGGTACAAGAGACAGAGTTTGCTCCTTTCTTTGTAATTTCAGGTCTGTAAGAGTGAGAATTAAGTTGTGCCAACAAACTCTTTCTAGAAGATTGGAAACTTGTGAGATTATGGACTTGTAATTTTTCCTATTATTCTGAACGTGCGATGGCAGCACTCTGGAGTTACATACTCTCAATGATTTCTTTCCCTGCTGCAGACATATATGTATCATGAAATGTTTGAAAAAATAGTCTTTTTTAGATTGTTCTAAAGGATATTTCTAGAAACTTCTACATGAAAATGGTACTTTCTAACAGGAAGAATAATCTATTGTTTAAAGCACCTGGTCTCACTCTGGATTTGGCAATTATTTCTAGGTTGATCTGGAAAGTTCTTGGCAAAGATTCCTGCAAGTTCGGATCAAAAAAGGTGTTGCTTAACTTTATCCCCCAATAATTAATGCTAGCAATTGAAATACAAATCATCTTACACTGAATGTTTACAAATAAGTTCTGTGTCTTAGTGTTGGAAAGCACAAGTGAGCATTAGACTAATTTTTTTTTTCTCTCTAAATTATAAGGCTTGGTAGCAGTCTGTCTTTTAGTAGTTAAAATATATGTCAGGTATCTTTTGTGGACTTTTAGTCTAGGTTGTACCATAACATTTTGCATACCATTGCAATCCATTCGATATCTCTGCCGTCTCCTAAAAGGACTCTCCTGCTTGCCACTCTCCCTAGAATGTTTCAGGCTTCAATTTTATTGTCCTTCTCCTTAAAAAGCTATAGAAAGCCAAATAAAAGATGACTTAAATTTGCAACAAGCACAAGCAGTCAATACACAGTGTTGGACAAGAGATCTGATTTTTCGATAATCGTCTTGAGTTACTTTTTGCAAGTCATTTTGCCTATTTCTGATTCTGTTTCGCTTTCCACCTCGTACCTTTCAGCTGTCAGACCTTTTGAGTAGGGATTTGCACATGTGTACACTTACTGCGTAGAAAAATGGACTAACCTTTTCTATTTTTGCTTTAATATATTATTTATTTCATGATCTATATCTCGCTCATTATTGGTGCCCAGAGTCCTGCATATGCATCTTTCAATGTCTTTTCTTGTGCAGGTGAAAGCCATCTGATTCAAGCTATAGTACTTGCATAATGGTGATTTTCATGCAGAAAAACAAAATATTCTGAGAAGTTAGTGACTTTTGAGTTTTTGCACAATCAGGTGGGTTCATGAGTTGAGAATATGGGTAATCAGGTACTCAGGCTACAAACCAGCATTTTCAGTTTTGGAGCTGGTAGAAAGTTTTTGCTCATTCCTATGGGAAGATGGCTGCGACACAGCAATTTGTATATCTAATGTGCTGCAACCCTGTTTGGGAGTAGGCAGATGCAGTATTTAGAAAGAAAAAAAAAACCTCTTCAAGAGCAACCTGACATCTAAACAGCTCTTGCCACTGAGATACTTCAGCAGGTGCTCCCACCAGTAAATTGGCCTGCATTCAAAATATTTGTAAAAGGTGAGATTTGCTATCCATGGCACCAGACTGAGCTGCCTGGAAAGTAATCTTTTGCTTAGTGTTGATGTTTTTACGATTTCCAAAATAAAGAGTAAACTTTCTGGTGCAAGAATCTCTCTTGAGAGAGGACTCTCTCCTTTATCTTACAATGAAGATAACTCAATTTGAGAGAACTTTTCATGCTGCTAGATTATTTTGAAATGAAATGCAGAGCTTCTATTTGTCCTTGCCTTTCCTTTGCAAAAAAAAACTTCTCAAAAAAAGCTAAAGGGGGGGGAGGGGGGCGGGGTGATTTCTTACACAAATGTGCACAAAACCCCAAGATTCCAGCAACTGTCTGGAGAGTAGGATGAAATGTGCTCTGATGTTGAACCCCTTCTGCTGTTAGCTCATTATTGAGAGACGCTTTGACACTATAATATAGGGTTGCAAATTGGAATTGCAACACCCTGCTATTGGGCCAAGTGATGAAGCGGCACAATAACTGCTTGCTTGATCTTACCACTCTTTCTTTAATGTGTATGTAAAAGATATCAGGAGCCTTTCCAGGCATCTGTCAGGGTATTTGATGCTGTTAGATAGGGACCTTCAGTCTGTGTGTGGTTAGTGTGCGTGTGTGCATGTTTTACCAGTGTTTTGTATAGTGTGGTAACTACAGGGCAAAGTTTCAGGTTTTATAATAGTTGGGGTTTGTTTATTATTAAAAGCCTATAAAAATACTAATTAAACTGGTGGATTATTGCAGAGAATACAGTTCTTATGCTCTTGTCAGAGGAGTTTCATAGGTAATTGGTCTTGACCTGTATGTCGTCTTTAATATTTCGTTCGCTCCAGAGTATTATTACTCACTTCCTTTAAGACGATAGCTAGGCTTTTTATGCAGCTAAACTTCTGTTTAACCTTGCTATGAGAATGTGACAGTAGGCTAGTTCAGACAAGTTAACATTCATTTGGTAACCAGCCTGCTTACTCAGCCTGCTTCAACCTGCAGCAAATTAAATCTTTGTGAGTTCTAGCCGACAAGTGATAAAGTCATTCTGAATTATGTATAAAAATAAATGGGGTATTTTCAGTGCTCATGGCAGTAAATGAAATTTAAGATTTATGATTTATTCTTTGATTTTTGTTGGGGATGATTGAAATTTATTTCACTTCAATGTTTTTACAGTCTAATTAGGAGGATGCTGTATTTCTGAAATATAGAATGTGTTTCATTCTGTGCCCTGCAAAAATAGTAGGATCTAGAATCTAGATACAGAGATTCTAGTAGTAGGATCTAGAATAGTAGGACCTAAAAAAATAATAGCGTCTAGAAAATGTTTTTCTGTCCTCTCTGTGTTTCTTCTGAAGAAACCATTAGAAACAATATTTTAAACATACAGCCAGAACTATATTTATCCATGTCACCAAGAATTGTACAGCATCAAATATTTTGTTATTGCCAAAATGAATCAGCGATCTTTATTTAAGAGCTATTCATATTGTAAATTTAGCCCATGTGTTATCAAGATATTGCTTGGGTGCTTCTGAAGATTCTACTTGTGGTTATCAACCTCACTTGACCAGGACCGATGCACTTTCCAGAAGAGGGCAGAAGGCCAGGTGTACGCTTACGCTGTATAAAGAAATGTGTGAAGGGTACTTGAAATACAAGGATGGCACAGATGGTTCTGATCATACAAGAGTGGACAATTCTCATTTTTAGTTGTATCAATTAGTACATTTTTAAATGCAGTGTAGGATCACATCTTAAATATTATTGTGTGTATGCAGGCACCTAATAATTTTGTCTTTTAAATGACACTAGCTTTTTTCCATTTGCTGTTTTGTTAGTTTTAAAAAGTTGAGATTTAGGCATACAGCAAGAGGCAAAAGTGCTGTTTCTGTTAGCACTGGTTAATGAACATCTATCCTGTCTGTGCTGACTGCAGTTTCACCAGCACTGTTGGATTTGCGTGTGTCTGTGTTCATATGAGAAACATGGCCTTTGACATTAATAATGACCAAGATGGTATGAAATGTATTTTTTTAAGTAGCTGTTGTGATTGTGTCTTTTACAATGTCTGCTGATAAACTGTTCATTCAATGTAATATTTTTTTTCAAGATAACTTAAGTCTTTTTAATTAATTGTATCAGTATCTATCATCTTTAACATTTGCTTATTGATTAGGAAGGAAAAATTTACATTGAATTCATCAAAGCTTACCACTGTAAAAGTTGCCACATACAAATAATGGTTCAAACCTCAATACTTATTTAGGAGAAAATAACAATTCGAGACAGTTTTGTGTTCACAGTTCCCCTTAGTTTGTTTTGATACTCTGTGCATACATACCTGTAAAACTCAGTTGATGTTTCTTTGAATGTTTTTATGTAAGGAATCATTTGAGGTTTTCAGGCTTCTTTCTTTACGTTTGTATAATTAATTTGTCTTCTGCAGTGCAGTCTTCAGTTCGAATCTCAAAGCAACCTTAAAAAAACCCCACAAACCAACTCTCCAATTGAGACTATGACTTTAATAAGTGATCATTGCTTTGTTTGTAGATGACTCTAGCTGTATCGGGACTGACTTTTCCTTGCCATCGACTTACAGTTGGGAGAAGATCTTCACCCGTGCAAACCAGGGAACAGTCAGAGGAGGTAAGAACATCATCTTTATTTTACCAGTATGCTCTGGGAAGAAACAGGGAAGGTTCATTTTGCAATGATCACCGTCAGTAGAATTGCATCTTAAAAGAATCAATTTACAATTCCTGTAGCGCATAATTGTGTTGAAGTAAGGAACTGGCTTAATGAGTCATTGAAGAAAAAGAGGAAAAACAAAGTAAGCAAACCACAGTAAGCACTGAAAAATACTCCAAATTAAATAGAAGGTTGAAACATGTATTTTTTAGTATTAGCAGAAAGAGATGTTTGCAGATTATATCAGCTCCCATTCTGTTGTTTCTAACTATTAATAGTTTGGGTTAAAATTTTCAATGCCTTTGTCCTGCCTTAAAATGAATTTAATTTAAGCAGTTTCCCATTTTCCACACAATTTTCTTACCATTTTGTTTAGAGAACTGTGGCACATGAGGTTTATCTTGCTGCCCAAAAAGGATGTGTTTCAATCTGTTCAGCTCAGTTGAGTTGGCAAGACATAGCTGTGAGGTGTAGTCAGGATGCAAGCCTAGATATGTGTTGTTAGATAGTTGTTAAAAGTTTGAGGATGGTCAGACAATGCTGTTCTAGCTATACCTGAACCACTTAGCAGGTGAAATAGATGGTTCTTGTTTCCTCCTGGGATCTACCAGCATAAGTATGTATCATTGCTGCTCTACTTGCATTCTTTCAAAATTATGTGACTGAGTGTGTTCACTTTGTAGAGTTTTCTTGTGGACTGGTTCATTCAGTAAATGTTCTTTATTTGGAGTTCTTTATTTGAAGTTCTTTATGTGTAACTGTTGTAGAGAGAGATCTAGCATGTTTGGAGCTCTTTGATCGTCCCATGGTCACTTGCATGCTAGAGCTGAAATTTCATGTTCCATAATACACTTTGTTGCACCTTCAGGGATTCATGTAGATTTTCTGTAGTTTACTATCACTGTAACTTCTAGCTCAAGTGGAGCTGGAATAGTCATTCATGAAAAGAAGTCAATTTAGAGGCAAGTTAGCATTGAATAGTTAAAACCAAGGATTTTCTGAGCTGTTTTATGTTTCAGTGGACATGAAATCTGAAAGATCTGACAGTGGGAGTTGGAGGCACAGATGGGGTCTTAGTTCCTCGCACAAAAATGTTGGTTTTTCTCCTTTATATTGGTGTGCCAAATAAATCAGCCTGTCATTCAACATGCGGTAGCCTGGTGTGCCAAGTTAGGACTATGGGTGCTAAATTTGTATGTCGGAAACTGCAGTGTGATAGATAGGTACCTTTCCAAGGACTGTCCCCCACCATGCAACTATTGCTAAAGTAGATTGTGTCTGGATGTCTAAAATTATTGACAGGTTGTGTGGCTTTTCTCACGCTTTCTTATGCAATTAAACCAGCTGCAGTACCGTTAGATGGAAAATAGTCTTAACTTTGGATAAAATTTACTCAGCTGTGTGTGTACAGAGACAATTCCTTAGTTATTTAATAATGCATTTTGTCATATAATATTGCTCTGTTAACCAGATTTCTGTTAAAAATTAGGTCTTATTTATAAAAAGATGTCTGATAATGCTGTGTAAAACGGTAAAATAAAAAGCAGTATATCAAGGGTTTTTATAAAAATATGTCAATATTTTTCACTATGTATATATATATTTCGCTGAAGATGACGTCTGTAACAGAGGCTTATGGTGGGTTTTGGTTTTTGTTTTTATGTAGCAATGCACTGATGTTCATATGGTTAGTGACAGTGATGGGGATGACTTTGAAGATGCTACAGAGTTTGGAGTTGATGATGGAGAAATGTTTGGAGTAGCATCATCTGCCTTGAGGAAATCGCCAATGAGTAAGAGTTGACAGTTAATTTACAGCTAACTGGTGGTTGTACAGCAGTAGTGAAGCCAGAGAGATATGATGGGTCTGCATAATAAGAAACAGGAAAGTACCTTTTGATAGGAATGTTAGAATGGTTTGCGGGTATTGTCTGATGGATGTATCAAATGAAAATACTCCACCTGTAATTGGCAACTATGAAAGCTTCTCCCCATGGAGGAAGTTTTTTAACCTTATGTTTTTAACTTATAGTTGAAGAATAATAATTAAACTCAGAGAAATTATGATCTCTAACCAAATGTTCCTGTAGATACCTAGATTTCCGTTTTCCTGATTTGAAAATTCTACAGATTTTAGCTTCAGCATCTTGTGGTGATTAATATTTTTAGTCATTTACGTTAAACAAGTTTCTCCGTGATTATTTGCCCTTGAATTATGAAGAGGATTGAGCAGGAACAGTTACCTCCTATATGCAATTCTGTATACTCTTTATTTACTTTAGGCTTTTATTAGTGTTATTACCTTAGAAGTTTTTTGACAGCAAATGTATGTAATAATATGGAAAAAATTTTGGTGTCATGTATAGCAAGTTTAAAAAAAAAGAAAAAGTAACTAGCAATATAGTGAGTCAAGCCTTTCAAGCCAATCCTTTAATGTATTAAAGTAATTCCAGAGTGTTAACTCTGAACAAGTGATATATCGCATTACACTGGACTTGAGGATTTTACTGTTTGGAATGCCTGAATATATTCATGAGAGCATCTGGAAATTTCATGTGTTTCCAAAGGTTCATAGTCAATAGTCTTTCACAAACTTTACATGGACTCTTGGTAACCACTTCAGTAAGCTGTCAACATTAAAAAAAAATAATCTATGAAGCAAGTGAGTTCACGTATTAAAATCTGTTTTCCATAAGGTTGCATTTAATTTATTTTTTTCGGTTTTTTTAAGTGCCAGAAAATGCTGAAAATGAAGGAGATGCCTTATTACAATTTACAGCAGAGTTTTCTTCAAGGTAAGCTTAGCTTATTAACTGTGCAATTCTTGTTACAAACTAAGTAAAATTTAGTAAATAATGGCAATAAAAATAAACTAAATGTACATATTTTCATGTAGGATCATAGCATATTTAGGTATCCTAATCTAATTTATTTTAAGCTTAACTTTGTTAGAACTGATTCTGAAATAAAATTGTTTCTCAGTCCAAGTTAGAGTGACAGATCCTTGCCTGATTTAATTTGCAACTAATTAATGTCATTACTTAATTATGTAAGGGTCCAGAAGGATGATAAAGATTCTGATTATGTATAGTAATTTTAATATAATATATAGGAACAGAAAAGCTGAAACTGATTGATATTGAAAAATATATACAGAGTTGCAATAAGATTTTTTGCAATAATGAAGTGGTTGGATAAATCTCTACATTTAAAAAAATACAGAAATGATGCTTTTTTTAAACTTCATACATCAAATCATATGTTGTTAAGCAGTTGCCATGTTTCATCAAACAAGTGGAAGCTGCAAACCAATATACTGCAAAGTAATGCAAAGTTTATATGCCTTCTGTTTTCACTCCTCTGTGATGAAATGTTCATTTATATATATGAGATGCATTAATGTGTAATACAAGAATAGCCTTCAATTAACCTTTAAGAATATAATAAAGAAAGGAAATAAATCATGATTGAAAAATTATATAGAACTTAAGGTGTCTATGCATGTAACCAGAAAGTTTTTACGATGAAATTTGTAAGGTAGTAGTTAGTTACTTTGAGCTTTAGAATGTTGGGAGACAGATGGCTTCTAAATATTTCCCTTCTGTCCTTCAAAAGTGTAGTACATCATTTTTCTAAAGGTTTACCCAATGCATTATATTTACAGAATAAATGAAGAGGTAGAATATTGAAATTACTTATTTTCATAATTTCATATTAATTGGAAATTTTATCTCAAATAGATATGGTGACTGCCATCCTGTTTATTTTATTGGATCATTAGAGGCTGCTTTTCAAGAAGCCTTCTATGGGAAAGCTAGAGATGTAAGTGTGTATTAAAACTACTTTATTTAATATAGGGGGAAAATGGAAATCACTGTAAATGTTTCCTCTTTATTTTAAAAAAGGTAAACTACATTTTTGAGTTGTCTTGGTTTTATTGTTTGTGAAGAGTTATATTCATTTAGTTCACTGACTAAAATACTTACCTTGCTGGTTGTTGAAATTACAGTGAGTAACTCATGCTTCCTAATCATTCAGGCTGTATTTTTATTGGAGTCCTTTAGTCATTAGAGCTACTCTTTTTCTCCCCCCCCCGCCCTTTTCTTCCAGAAATAATGGTGTCCTAGCACCAGATAACACTGGCTGCGAGTCTTGTGGTTGACAAGTTCAATGTTGCATGTTGTAACTCCTTTGAAGGATGGCTAATCAAATTGTAAATTTAAATTGAAAGGTCTCTGAAATACAGTGTGTGCTTTTTTTCTTTGCACAGCCTTTATCTGCCAAGTGAATTCCAGTACTAAGATTTGGATATTTAGTTTTTCTGTGCATCCAACCAGACATCTCAAGTTTCTGTTATTCCATGCACAGTTTTCAAATCAGTATTTTAATAAAATTAGAATGGGGATAGTTTATTTACGTTTTGGTGACTTGATTCACTAAGGAGAAACCCAAACCCCTGCATAATTAAGCATAGATAAAGCTGAAACACAAACAAGAAAATCATGCTGTTTAAATTTACTTTTTATTGTCTTGATAGATATTTAATTTTAATATGAAGAATGTTTTGGCTTCCTGTAGTTATTCATATTGGAAGGAAGAACTATGTTATGTCAGGGGCTGTTCTGCTAAGTGTGCAGTGTTACGAACTACGCTGTATAGCTAAAGTTAACACATACTTAACATGTCGTGCACATGCTCTAAGTTTAGTGAATATTTTCATGTCTTTGCACAGATTTCAGAGCATAAATGGATACATAATAATTTAGTAGCAAAGTATTAATTTATAATAACTCATTAAAATGGGCCTTAATGCATGTTTAAAAGAAATCATTGATTCGGCAAGAAATGTGTTTGAGTTAGGAAGTTCACTTTGTTTCATTTCATCAGAAATGGTTGACAGCGTATCAGTATAATAATGGACGAGAGCCCATTAGGAACTTTCATAAATTTTTTTTATACCTATAAATCTGATATTAATGCAGTGCAGTTGCTTAGTTTGTTAATACTTAAGGTACTTCTTATACTACTTACATTGCACATCTGAAATTCATGTCACCTTACTTTTCTAATATTTTGCATTTATTCAGACCAGATCCTCATGAGGATAAAGTTATATATTTAGGAAAGTATTATTTTCGTGTCTTTTTTCTTTAATTTTTTTTTCCCGACTATTACATTAATTTTTCAAAGCTCTCCTCCCCAGCTAACCTGTGGAATGACATTATTTGTATTGTAACATTCTGACTTTAAACAAAGGTATGAGAATGTATAAATACCATTTATTTTTACTGCTTTTTTCCCATTACAAGTTTTTTCGATACTGCCTCCTGGAATTCATAATTGAGGAAAGGGATACTTTATTTTGTATGATTATGATTTCATTTCATAAAATAATTCAATAGGTTAATCAGTATGAAAAAAAGAAAAAGCTTAGGAGAAATTGCAACCTGTATGTCTTGTTTTCTAATTTATACTATGGAGGGCACTTAATTTTACCAGGGCAACAGATGAGCTTCAGGCACCAGCATTCTTCACTTGAAGTGAGAAATTGAGTTCCAAGAGTAAATAAAAACAAGATTGAAGGTTTAAATCCTCTGCTAGGCTTTTTGAACTTATATACTCATTAAATGTTTATTGGAGTGGTGGGATTACGAAGGATTTGGGTAGCTTCATCAACTGGTATATACTTAATCACTAAGTAAAACACTACATTTGATAGAGTGTTTCTCACGATGCCACACTCAATCCATCTTAATGAAAACCGCTTCAAACTGATTTAATTTGAGAGCACTTGGCAGCTTGAGTGCTCAGAGATCTTAGCCTTTTCTTGACAAATTCTCAACGCTGTCCAGAGCAGAAGGTGCACTCTACAGTTCAGGTCTAGTGAGACAGCCGTCAGATAGGTTTTTAATCTATATTATGGATACTTTTTCCCTCAAAAAAATCCCGCTATGCAGCCTTTTTGCAGAAATATTTTAATTTGGGTTATGTTAAGAAAATTAACTTATGTCAGAACATGTGTTTTAAACACAGATTAGGAGTTGAAATTCTTCTTTAAGAAAATAGATGTTCTGTTAAATCTTAATGAATTTTCTTTTCATGTGTTGGAAAAGAAAGTAATTGATAGTTGTTTAAGAAAATGTTACTTGAAGAAGAAATACCTTGTAAAAGTACTTTAGATGTTTGTCTGTTACTTGTGTTTTGTTTAGCTTTTATTATCATAGCTTTTCATTTCAAGTCTTTAGATAGTTAAGGTTAACATACATGATGGGTATCTTTTTTCCTTCAGAGCAACTGCTACCATGATAGTGCCAGTTTTAGATAGGAGAGATGGAATGAGGTCAAATGTAGCTCTACTTTAAAACCTGTATATCTCTTTAGCACAAAAATACGATAGCCAAGGTATAGAGCTTTGCCTTTAACAACCAGTGTCCTTGGCAATGAAATTCCCAGTTACCTCCTGCAGCCTGATAGTTAAGAGCATTGTGTGTTCATTTCCGAGGCTTATTGCATGTATAACACAAGAAAATATTGTATTCTATTTTATTTTATTTTATTTTTCAATTGAGTCAGGAAGAGGAAGAGAGATAGAGGTTTATTAACTTAACAAATAACTTGTTCTTTTGTGAAAGTCTTCCTCTCTTTATTGTGTCAATTGGAAAGAAGCGTTTCTCTGTTACATGAGTTTATGAAGAACAAGCTTACTCTTGCTCAGGTAGCTACACTATCCTGGAAATAGCTAGACCTGATGCCATGGAAGAAATTTTATAATGGCCAGTTTTAAACAAGATGTTTAGGGGAGCTTTCTTTGCAACTGAAAACAGTTTGTGGGTGCCTTGTGTTCTGAAATGTCAGGGGATTAATCCTAACTTAGGGTGGTATTGTTATTAATACAGGATCTTAATTGCTATATTCAATCTCATTGAGCCATTTACTTGAATAATACTAAAGTATTTTCTTTTATTGGAGCTTGTTTGCCTTTTCATTTTTATACATAGTTGCTGCCCTATTATATAAGAAAGAATAAAGACAGCTGCTTTATCTTTTCAGGAGCTCTTATCTTTATATACCTCTGTCAGATCACCTCCTGCTCCTCTCTCAACCTTTCTGTCCACTGACTTTTAATAAATATGTGAAACATCTCTCTTAGCACAAATTGGTATTGTCACCTCAATATATATTCCTGCATACTGAAAATGAACCATGTTTTTCTTCTCCTTGAATTCTGTCTTTTAGGGTCATTTTAGTGGCACCACCATCCCTCTCACATAGGGGTACTTTATTTCCTGAATACCTAGAAGAAAGTATGCTCCTTCCATGATTTGGCATATTCAAATAAAAGCTTTTTTTTTTTTTGTCTGGTGATAGCAGAATGTTCTTTTATACAGGGCTTTCTGTAGTATCATTTTTAATCTGTGTAACTCAGAAAACTGTCCTTTGTTATTATTTCAGCTAATTAAGTTCATGCTGAACTTAATAATGAAAAAAGATTCACAGAGATAATTATTCTGATTACTGTTAGAGCACATTATAGAAACAGCATTGACTACTCTCCAGTCGTCTTGTCTCAGAAGAGTAGTTTGAAATCCGTCTCTTTTAGATGCTACCTTGAGTAGAGAGGTTGTTCTCAATCCCAATTGCAAGACAACTTTTTGTTTTAGTCTTTGTCATCTCCCCCCCCCTTTATTCCCTAAATACTGCAGAGCGATGTCAAGGAGTACAGCTTCACCACCACCTTGGCTCCAGGCACATTTCGAATAAAGTCAAATTGCTACTCCTACATTTTATAAGGGGCTTGATCATACTGTGTATCCTAGGTGTGCTTTGAAAATGCATCTGTAGTTGAGCTGTCTGAGGGTCCTAGATGGAGAAATTACTGCTTTACAGATAAAACATAAATAACCTGAACAGTAATCTACATGGTCTGGTTGAAACTGTAGAGGACAGGTATAGAAGTATAACTCTAGGTTCCTGGGAAGAGTAAAGCAGTAAAGCATCTACAGTAGATGTCAATATATAAATTTCAGTTAAGTCCCATGTTAGTCACCTACATTTTCTTTCCAGTCTTGCCTGATACGTGTGTTAGCAATTCTGTCTTTTCATTTTTAAATTAATTCTGAACTTGTGGATAATTATTGTTTAGAAATTTTTTCTACAACATGCTAGCTTAGTAGTCTCGCTGTGTGCCTACACACGTTTATTCTTCATATCTGAAGAACAGCTTCATCTTTCATATCTGAAAGGTTAGTCCTGGGTATGGGTTTCTCTTCAGCATCCTCTGTACTTGATATTAAATAATGAAAGTTTTTTGAAATTGTCTGCCACACTCTACATTTCGTCCTCTTTCAAATTATATGATTTATAGATCTTATTTGAGTTTGGTTTTAATTACTGGATATTCTTTGCATTATGTAAGATATCACTACAAGTTTCATTGATTGAAATAGAGATACAACAGAATAATAGGATCAAATAGTTGGAAGATGAAAGTAGACTAAATCAAACTTAAAATAAAACACACCTTTACCTGGGAGAGTGGTTAGCCTTTTGAATGGCTTACCATGGTTCATATGAATTCTCTATCACTGATGTTTTTTTGAGACTAGATATTTTACTGAAAGATAAAATTACTGAAAGATTAAATTGGGAATTAGTCTTATGCCATGTATAATACAAAAGACCAGATCAAAAGATTACAGGGATTGTCTCACTCCCACTTTAGGAACTTGTGGGGTACAGTTTAATTTAGATCCTCTTCTACAAGGCTGGAGGCTGGTTAATGCCCCTTGTCTCTCTGTCTTTGGTGTCTGTATCCTTTCTTTTGGCTGCTGCAGGGGAATTTAATAATGCTTATCTTCTGCAGGTTTTGTCCTGTTATGTGTAATACACAAACAAGGCTTCCTATGAATCTCCATCTGCCCTATTCCTGCTTTAATCCTTTTTCAAAGTGGAGTAAATTCGAAGGTGTATCACCTTGGGACTAGGGAAGGTTTGCATTCTGCTTAGGGGAAAAAAGGGTTGTGTGTGATAGAGTAGCTGTGTCCAAGAAGGCTGATCATATGATCTCCAAGATCACCTTAGACAGGTAGATCAGATTGTACACTTCAAAGGCTTAAAGATGTGCAAATGTGTTCCTTTGTTCATTTCAATTAGTTTTCACTACATAAAACCTAGAGGAAAAATTAAGTTCTTGCTTCATTAGCCTACCAGCTTGAAAGAACATTCATGCCTCTAGCAGATGTTACATCATGAACATTTTTGTCTCAGTCATTACTTGAACTTGTAAACCTGAGATTCAAAAATAACCATTCAGGTCTGTGGTTTTGCTGAGCCTTGTGACTGTGTTGCTATTCTCATTCAAGTTCATATTCTTCTTGGGTATCTAAGTTATTCACATTGTTAGGAACTGGCTGAGAAGCTTGGATATCCCATTACTCACTGATTATCAATTTAGTCTCTCAACCTCATGAAGATCTATGTTTCTTTCTACCTCAGGGACAGCTTTTTCCTCATTTCTTCTAGTTCTGTAGAAAAGTGCATTCACTTTTCTGAAGTTCCAAAATGCAAAAATGGCCAAATGGATGACATAGCCATTTTGGTACATAAGACAGATCTTCAATGTGTTTGTCTCGTGTCAGAGTGTATGTACATGTTAGATCTCTTGGTCAGGTGCATCATTTTATGTGGCAGGAGGCTGCTATACTTTGGATGATGTGGCAGAGAGGTTTCATGGTGCAAAGCACTTAGTGCCATGGTTTAGTTGTGTTAGGTCGAAGGTTGGACTCGATGATCGCAGAGGTCTCTTCCAACCTAATAGATTCTGTGAGTCTGTGAAGGCTACAACTGAGAAGACTGTGCCTCTCAGGGGGTGCCCTGCTGAAGTACAGCATCCATCTACAGTCCACATTTCCTTCCAGGGTGCCATATGCCAGGCATGTTCCATTAACAGATCAAAATCGGGCAGGAGAGGGCTGCAGCGCTTCACTGCAAGTACGTAGTGGTGGATGTGAGGTAAGGGAACAGAGGCATGGCTAACTGAGACTCATGCGGTCTAAATGCAACAGAGGGTGCAGAAGAAAATGCTTGAGGTCTGGACTTTTGAGGGTATTTGAATAGCCAAGATGCTAAAAACAGTTAGCACCTCTTTCTCATGGCCCTTTTTCCTCTGAAATAAAATGAAACCTGGAGCTTAGAGTTCAAGCTTTTAGGATCTTAAATCTTACTGACATTGATGAGACTTAACACTCCCAAGTATGTATGCCCCTTCTGAAAATTACAATGTATGATTGCCTTATCTTCAGCATCCACATACTGTGAAAAATACATCTCTTGATGGCTTACGTTCCTGAATTCCTAAGGCCTTTGGAAGCACATGAGCTATTCAGTACTTAGAACCTTTTCAGTATCCCATACCTTCACAGGGACTAGCAAAAGTTCTTCCCCATCAGATTTACTTTCTTGGTTAAAATTCTATGCTAAGTGTATAACCCCTGAGTCATTAGGTTTTTGAGAATTCCAACACAGGACAGACTACTGCTCCATTAGTACGCTTCTTTTGTGGAAGTCAAGACTGTTCAACAGTTTAGTAAGCCTATTTTATAAGCATTAACTAAAAAATTCCCAGTATTAGTCATCATAGAATCCTAGAATTTACTTTGATTTTTCAAAGGCTTGAAATCAAAACAACGAAAACCTCCTTATGAATACATACTACCATGGGTTAGTTTAAAAAAAAAACAAAACAAAACAAACAAACAAAAAAAAAAACCAAAACCAAAAACGAAAACCACCACAAACCAAAAACAAACAAACAAAAAAACCCCAAAACCCCAAACCAAACAAAAACCCAGAGAACCCAACACACAACAAGAAGAAACTCCAAGCTGTGAGACTTCTGCAATAATGCATTTTTCCAAGGAAAACATATGCCTGGCTTCCACTAAGATTTTTCAAAGTCATGTATCAGCACTTCAGTTCCTCCGGCTACCTCTTTCCATTTGTCCTAGCAGTATGCCTATGCCTGACCTTAACATTTGGGATGAATTATCAGACAGAAGTACAGTCTTTTATATGTGATGGATGGTGAGATTTGCTGATGCGACAAAAATTACATTCGCTTGTAAAGTAGCTCAGTGTAAACATCTGTTGTGTATCTGCCTGTTCTGTTTACTAAAATTTGTCCCTAAATCTTTAAGCCTAAAACTGTACATATTTTGAAACATTCTGTTGTATGGAATCTCATATTTAACAGTTTCATGGGGTTGTTTCTTTGGAAGTAAAAGTGTTTCTCAAGAGCCTTTTTTTCTATCCGCTCCCAGTGAAAAGAGGAGAGCAAAGCCATCCGCTTACCACAAAGCAGGGCCACCACAAAGGAAAGATTAAGGGTTTAGAGAGAGGTCAATGTGGGTTTTTCTCTAACTAAACACTTTCCTAAAGTTTCCTTGTGGAAAAAATAATGAAGTCATCTCAGAGTTTTTAAAGAATTTTTATTTCTTTTTCACTGTCTGCATTCGCTTGTCTTCTCAGCATAGATGTTTAATCTTTCTAGGCTTTGTGAATTGGTCCAAATGAATAAGTGGTGAGCTGTCTCTCTAGGAGCTAGAGGCTTATTCTAAGGCCCTAATCACTGAGTAAACACATCTTTGCCCTCCCTCTCTTACAACTGCTATATAATAGTCGAGATTCTAGCACAGTAACCTGGATATTGCAGGGATCGACGCTTTGAAATGCAGAATGGCTGATCCTCAAAAACAGACAGTGCCTGATCTTCCCCTGCCTCTTTCTTCTTTTTAAATTAAATATCACCACAGAAATGCTGTTTTATTGCTTGATATTGTGCATCAGTGCCCTGGATTTTCAAGTTTAGTTTCAGTCAACATTGTTGACTGCACTTATATGGATCTCTGCATGTTGGGCTTATTAGTGGCCCTTTCTGGCCCATGTGTATGTGGTTCTGAAGAACATTGAAATTAAATTAGACAAACATTAATGCAAATTACTAATCCCTTTCCCAAAGTCTAATGTTTAAATGTATTATTCTCTTTATAAACAGTCATTAAGTTTTATCCAAAGCCAGTATATGAGGTGATATACAGGCTTTTTACAAAGACAGCTTGTCTCAAAATTGCATCCCATGTCTTGCTGTATCACTACACGTCAATATCTAGTCTTCAGTGTTACTTTTGATGGAGAGATTTGAAATGACTTTAAATAAGTCTGAAAATAGCATTTACCATATTGTCTCAGCAAATATGTTCAAGTAGGATTTTAAAATAAAGTAAGTAATATATATGGGTATGGAGGAATGGAAAGTTGTAATTTTCTGAATGGTATTTATAGTTCATTGAATACCAGCTATAGGATCATGGTCCTTGAATAGCTCACAGTTTCCCTGTATTTCTCCCAGTCTGCTTTCTATATTTACATACACATAGACTCACTTTCCAAGAGGTGGTCTGAGATTATCATGGAGACACAGCACAGCTCTATGCTGCTGGCAGTGAAACTCAATTACTTGATAGGGTTTCAGAAGAACACGGCACAGAATATTTTGTTTCAAGAGGCCACAAACACCATCCTCAACATCTAGTCTTTGCTAACGTGGTAACTACAATGAGATGTATCAGCGCTCGCAGACTCAATGTGGGATTTGATCCATGTCTCCCATACCCCTTCCCTTGTGTCTTACACATTCTCAGTGCTGGGGCAGCTACCTAGCTCCTCAGCTCCATGAGAGATGTAGCCAGCTGCGCTGACACGTGGCCTTGTGACCAGCTACACATCGACTTACCAAGTAGGTGAGAGGCTGATGTGCTGTGGGCCTCCCCACATCATACGGCTGGATGGAGAGCTGCCAAAACGTCCAGAATGTAGTGTTGCAGGCTTTGGGACTGTAGGCAGCTGTATTGTTACTTACTCATTTTCCTCTTTATTTGGCTACAGATGGGGTGATAACAATACACTGTCATTTTTTCAGGTTGTTTATAATTGTTTCATATCGTAGATGCTGTTGTGTCAAGAGGTGTATTCCTTGCTCAGGGAATTGTTCCAAATGTTATCTTTATTGGGCAGCAAGCCAAAAAGTTTCACTCATTTCCTAAGCAGTCTGTTAATAAGATTTTGATTTTTCATTGAAATGTTGTTATTTTCATGTTCTAAGCATATAATAGATCATGTTTTGATGCTGAAAATAAAATATTAGGAAGCACTGAGAAGATCTATAGATTTGGAGGGATAGACCATTTGACTTGAAATCTACTGGTTTGGGTTTTTTTTTCCCTCTGTGTGCACACGTTGAGATGCTCGGCACCCTCGATAAACACCATAGGGCATACTAACACACAAATCTGCAGCAGTAATTTTAAATTACCAAATAACTTGAGGAAGTTTTCACTGATCTTTTCTTGTGTCTTTTCAGAGAAAGCTTCTTGCTATCTACCTCCACCATGATGAAAGTGTACTAACCAACGTCTTCTGCTCACAAATGCTTTGTGCTGAATCTATTGTCTCCTACCTGAGTCAGAACTTCATAACCTGGGCATGGGACATGACAAAAGAAGCAAACAGAGCAAGGTAAGACTCTTTGGACTGTGAGTGGAGCAGCTTTTCTCTCAAGGAGAAGACCCTTATCTCTGTGTCATCTCTGTGTATCAAATCTTTTGTTGATTGATATCTATTTGAACAAAAAACTTCATGCTTGTTCTTAGCTGATCAATGAAGCTGTGCTGGCTGACGTTAACTGAGAACTGGACCATCCTTGTTTTCATTACAAAGTGACTTCTTATTACTGTGCAAGAAAAAATAGTTGAAGAAATTATTTCCTTTTTATTTTTTTTTTACTTTAGTTTGCAAGCATAGTTTTAGGAACGTGTCTTCACAGTTTTGCATTGCAGTGCTATAATGTTATGTGACACTAATTGTATGTATGTAGGTGTAACTGCATTAGAACTGTCTGGAACAATAACTACTGTTGTCACTGAAAATCTTATTAAAAAAATAACATTCATGTGATAATAGTAAAAACAGATTATGCAAAAAAATTAAAAGCTTGCAATTCATATGAACTTTTTTGAACTACAGTTTTCTTACAGAACATTCCTTTAGTAATGTTCAGATATTTTGATAGCTTTTATTATATTAAAAGCTATCCTGTATCTTAGAGGCCATCATTTTGCTGATGAGTAAAGAAATTAAAACCCTGTAGATTCCACCTCCTTCTACATCTTTTGTATGCTACCAACAAATTTTCTTATCTTTATATAAAGACCTCTCTCTTCTTTAGTTAGTTATCAGTTGATCATCATCTACTGAAAATAATGATTTTATGATTATACTTCTTATATTCAGAAATCAGAATTGTTTGGTTTTCTAACTTGGACCTTATTTTGTCACCTTTATTTACACATAAGATGACTGCTTACCAGGATAATATCTTGTGTATATTAGTATAACGAGAGTTATTCTGACTTTTGAACAAAAGATGCAAGAGTCATTTGGGCTGGGATAAGGTTGGCACTTTTTTACACAATCCCATTGATTATTGAACAACTAAAAGTACCTATTTATGTTTCTTTCCCTTGTGGCTTGCTAGAATAGAGCATTCATGCATTCTTATTCTTAAATGTGTAAATTATAGTTAATATTTCTTTACTGAAAGTGGGCATGGAGAACAGAACAATCTCTTTTTCTAATACAGTTTTTAAATTACACTTGTATTTCACAGGAATTCCGCACTCGACCTTCTGCATTTCGTCATTGGACGAATCAGCGGCTATGTTTCTAGTTTAAGTTATTCTAGAGAAGAGATAAAGATGATGGAAAAAAGCAGTTGCAAAAACAGATAGTTGCAAAAACAGATCAAAAGTTTTTTAGAAAGAAAAGAGAGAGGGAGGAAAAAGAAACATGTAGGTTCTTTCATGGGACCAAATACATAGACTGGAAAGTTGGTTAAGTCTTTTGGTATTGCCATTCACTTGCAGTAAGGAGCCTCCTCCTTTTCTTTTGTCCCACAAGTTGGTGTAGAAGGAAACACTATTTCTAAACCATCTGTAGTGGCTAAGTTCAGTTGACTACCTGCTGTTCTATTGTTTGCTTTTCTATTTAATTCTCTAGTTTCTTTTATTTTACAATGACAAAAAATTGCAGTGTAGTTTCTTTTGAAAAACTGTGTTTGACGGTTTTTTTATGACTGACGATCAACAGCCATGTAATTGCTTTGTTGTGTTTTACTAAAGAAATCTATTAAGTAGCACAACTTTGATACACTAGTAATAAGAGTTTGCAGGTTACAGAGACACCTGTGGTGACCAAAGGGACAGAAGCTGCTTATTAGAAAGAGCCTGTACAGCTGTGTCCTATTAACTCCTTATGACACTTCTTAAAACACTAAATAAAGGACTTGTTTAAGGCTTTATAGCTATTCTCAATGAACCTAGTCAGCAATTGTGCAGTATGATAGGGTTTTTAAGCCTTCATTTTTTTGCTTTCTATTAACAACAACAAAAGAAATTGTCATATTAACAGTGAGGTCAAAAAATAGTAAGGGGTAAACAAGGCATGCGGGCTCAAACTAGAATAATTTCTCTGTTGTGTTTAGTGTCACATCCTGCTCCTTAGACTGTGATTTCTTCAGAGGGGGCATGATGCTTCCTTCTCCCTTTGGAAAGTGCCAATGCACTGTGGGCATTCCCATAAATAAATACTCAGCACCTCTGTTTAATTATTACCCTTCATTAAGTGACACAACAACAGTGGTCTTGGAGGCTATTCTGTTCTGTATCCCTATGAATACAGTTGCTTGTAGCTTTTTATGTGAATGGTGAGAAGACAAGGGTAACAACAGAAGGAACTGCTTTTTGCATGCTGGTGTAGCCCAAGAGCAACTCGTTTGTGCTGTTACAATTGCATTAGTGGAAAAGCCAGGATGAAGGCAGAGGGATCAGGCCCACTTTATTTACAGCAACCAGTAGGGACACCTCAGTGTCAGTAGTAAAAAACAAGTTTTCAGTACTGCAGCATGGCATGAGTAAGTTCAAACAGATATAAATACTTTCCTCATATAAGCCAGAAAATCTTGAATATTCTGATTTATTTTTTTTCTTGCTCTTTGCTGTCCTCTTTCTGACACCTATGGATGTCATTCTGTTCCAAAACCAGTCTTAATAGTACTTTCCATTTTTCTTATTAATGAAATCGCGGTCCATCCTGAACACTGTAGAACAAAACCAGCTTAAAATCTTGTCAGTTTTCCTGATTTTTAATACGCTTCTCAGCTGACACTGATGTAGGGATGTGCTTTGAATCCTGTGTTACTGTACACCGGCACTTTTCAGCTGGAATCTCTCAGTATTGTTCTTCAACACCCATTGCAATAGAGTGAAAAGAGTTCTGTAGGTAGGACTAGAAGTAAAATGCTATCAGTTACCGTGGTGCTTGCACACAGCAGTAGTGCAAGAAGATAAGGCTTACAACTTTGGGAGACAGATTTTAACAAATTTCTAACTACAGCCACCCAAGACGGTTACTTTGTCAAACGGAAGGAGAACTCGAGTTAAGAGGTTGTTTTGTTTTGGCTTCCATAGCTTTTAATTGCCTCTGACATAAGATTTGCAGGAAAGGGAGCAATTACTTTGGGTCAGTGCTGCAAATCATGAATCTTTTCAGTACTAGAATAAAAAAAATCATGATATAATGAAATAATTAGCTTTCATTTAGGAAAATAATGTTGTGTTTTTATGATATTTTAAGGAATCTATGTGAAAGCTTTATCGCGTGTAGTTTAGACTTTAGTTTAGCGAGCAACTGTTTGGAATATTCTTGTAATTTATGTTGTCCGTGGTCAAAGGAGAGAAAAAACCCGCAAAGCTACAGGTGTATCTTTTACTTTCTTGTTATAGTCCACTCAGTTTTGGGTGAATCATGAGCTTAAAAAACACTGTTTCCTTTCCATTGCTTGCTATGGAGATGTGCTACCATGCCACTCCAAACAGCAGAAATACGCTTACGGGAGGTGTCGGGGCAATAGTAGTAGTGTTTACCAGCAGCAGTATTGGCAATTCTGGCCTTGCCTTTTGGTCCGAGCAGGGGGCTGCAGCACCTCACCAGCTGCATCGGGCCATCGCATGGTCTAAGCGATTCCTCAGGTTTCCAGAGAGGTTATGGGATAAGCAGGAGAGCCCAACATGAGCAGCTATAGTTTTGGCACTTTCTGACTTTAAAGAGTTGACTGAATACAATTATTCTAATATAATTATGTATGTGGGAGGTGTTTATGTGTGTGTGTGTGTATATATATATGTATGCAAGTGCATGCCTAACTATTTTTGTTAATTCATTAATATACAATAATATAATGTTTGTATCCAAGACAGATATATAGTGAATATATATACATACGTATATACATGCAGACAAACACTTATGTTTGTACACACAGCATTTACAAACGTAGATTATATATAATGTTAACAGATTTCCAACGTACATAATGTTTACCAGGCAAAGCAATGCCAAAACCATAAAACAGTGACTCGAATGTCTGTAGCAGCTTTTTAGCTTTGGACATCGTTGCCCTTGGGCGCTGTATTTTAACTTTTCTCAGCTCTGATGACAGGTACTTGTTAGTTTTAATGTTCAAATGATAGTTTTTTCATTTTGCTTAAGCTTAGGAAAGAGTTAATTGACTAAAGCGCTTCTCAGCAGCAGGTTGTCTTCACCTGCAGTTTCCATCATCAAGTAATTAGCCATATTCACAGTTGCTGACCCTTAATACTAACCTACTGAATGATGCATGCCTGGATGAAGACCAGTTGACCATATTACTCCAGCTCCCCAATCCTATTTGATCCTTCAGCAAATATATCGCAGGTGTGGGGTCTGTGAGAGCTGGACTTGGTAAGTTAATTTCTCACTGCCTCTTCAGGAGTGACCATAGATTCTGTATATGTTACTTGCAAAACTGTTGGATATGTTCTTTAGGCACTAAACCCTTAACAGGTTTCACAGAACAGTGTGAAAACCTTTTCTATTGTATTTTGCAATATTTTGTTTAATTTACTTTAATAGCAATACAGTGCCAGTCAATAAAAACAGGTCAAAAGTCTAATTAATGTTTTAAAAATAAAGGTTCTCAGACACCAGGCGAGTTTGTCATTTTCTGTATGGTTTGTTTTGAGGAGGAAGAGGAAAGAAGGTGAGGAGGGAACCCTTCTGTTCCATGATTACATCCCACCCGCTCATTTTCTCCTTTTCTCCTTTGCTTTTGATTTTAGTGGCGGTCTTAACAGAATGTCAAGATCAATTTGCAGCATGGTTTAACTCAAGGTTTGCATTCTGCCAGCAGCGATTGTCCTAACGAACAATGCCGTGCGTTCTTGTAACTTCAGAAGCTTTTAGAAGGCTCATGGCAAGGGCAGCATCTAATGACTTTATTAGTGTAGGGTTTCAAAATTGGCTCAGTAATTGTTCGCATCTCTTTGTCATCTAGTCATAATTACTGCACAGTATTGTGTGGGGTTGCACTTGTGAATAGTTTCCTAATAGCACTGAAACGAAGAAAAAAGGAAAAGGATAAA